CCTCTGTTGGAGGGTATTTCCACCTTTATATAACACATTCCTGCGGAGGGGGCTGGTAGGAAATTTTGAAGTAATTATGTACGGATATTTTCCAGTCCACTACGTTTCCTACCAGTAATGCCCACTAGGAGCGCATTTGTTATATATCCGGGTGTCCGAATACACGTGGACAGACATCCACAGACATCCACAATTAATCCCCTGCCTCCTGTGAATGAATCCCGGTTGGGCTTCCAGTCCACTACGTTTCCTACAAGTAAAAACATACAAAGGCAATACGTTGAGGCTAGCTAGCGGGACAGATAAAAAAATAAAGTTTGTGTACAAATCTACGTTTACAGAATGTTATGGGTTTGATCCCATTATTCTTGGCGCCAGGGGCGGCCCGTTCATATAGGCGCCAAGTGAAGTGAGACGCCACATTCGAGGATAAGAAATAAAAATAAAATAAATAATAAAATAACGAAGATGAATTTCAGTTTATGTGCACGTAGAGGGAATATGAATGATTAATTTATCAACATTTCTGAGAATGTATTGGTTGGAGTGACGGACAAACCGAATAATTACACGTCCGTTTAAAAGAAATAAGCTTAAAACATTCAACGGAAAATAGGGGCTAAATGTTTATTAGTTTACCAAAATCCTCAGCCTAGATCTGCCCGTGGGGTTTCGGGATGGGGGCGCCGATCGCATGGTTCGCCTAGGGCGCCAGTTGCTGGCAAGCTCGTCTAGGGCCGCCCCTGCTTGGCGGTGATGGCTCTGCTTCTGATGGGGCCATCGAGCCTTCTAAATTGAGCCACCCAAGCACAGCCACTTGGACTGTGCCAGATGCAATGCGGTCATCACATCCCGCACACGCAAAATCACGGTCTACAGCGCCACCCGGTGGTTTAATACCCACCGTGTAAGTCACGCACGTTCCGAAACACGAACACGACCAATTTGACACCGGTCTGTCTGGGGTTGATCGCCTGGCCAAGGGTGATTGTTGGTATATAAATTGTGGGTCTTGAGAGATGAGACGATGTTGAGCAGAGAAGTAACGGCAACAGGTTTACATCTTCCACGGGGGAAAAAATGTGGCGTGCCTGGATATGTCCAATCATTGTCATGCCCTTTACCCATATGGCTCAGTCGCAGGACTTTCAATTTCACGGTGGTCCTGAAATTAAGATGTTTGGCCAATTATATGATTGTGTTGGACAGAGGTGGACATCGGATGACCTAGAGAACACCCACGCATACGAGAGGGTAAATACCAAAAAGGTTAATGTTTAATCCTTTTGCTTTACTGCCATCATTTGGATACCTTCGATGCCACGGCACTTTGAGAGTTTTCTTTATAAAAAGCGGCCAGCCACCAAATGTTTTTTTCCCCAACAAAGCACTGGATTAAGGGCGTATGACATACGATGACACAATACCTAATATTTAAATTGCATTATACCTCGTGTGATCTGCATATCTGGGTATTGCACAACACGACACTGACACCAGCATTGCTTTGACGAATGCATGGCAAAAAGATAACATTACATATTAAAAACAACTTAAATGTATTTTTGCAGTATTATACGAAAATGGAAAATTCCTACAACTCCACATTGCCAGATCCGACCGAGTATGTTGGGAAAAAGGGCAAAAAAATGAAAAATGAATTGAGGCATTGAATTTTAAGCTGGTGACGTGCACAAAATGTATACATATGAGCATGTACATATAAACATGCTGTGTAAGATATGCATATATAAATACGCCACTGACATTCTGGAGCTAATTTCGCATATCTCTTTTCCAATTACATTCGTCCTTACAACACCGCCAATTCACTTAATTAACCGAGACAAAATGCACACCTGTTTCCAATGAATAGACTCTTTATTTTCTTCAAAATAAGCAACTTCGTATACACAAAATCCACGTTAAACCCCATAAATAAATGCCGAGAACAGTGTCAACAACGCTCGTGTATTAAAAGTTTATGTGCTCTATTTTGTATAATTTTTCAGTCACACTTCAATAAAAACATTCATCGCTGCCAACACGCCCTGCAGATCGTGTCAAAAGTGCTGCTGCTGCTGCTGCCGCAAACAGCGCCAATCAAAGCAATAAAATCATAGCAGCTCAATTCTAACCACCGTCAACATTTCAGTCTCAAATGGCAAAGTTAACAACCTCTGTAAAAACAATTATAAATGGTGTCCCGGAGATGTTTCACCCTACATTGGCCAAACAAACAAATGAAATCAGCAATCTCAAACCGCATCACACCCATTCCAATACGTATGTCACGACGCATCCATCATTCAATGGTTAAGATCGATCCTTACACTCGCATCACATGCGTGCGTCTCAAGTTATCATTGATGCGCAATGCAAACTGTATGGAGATTAAATGTCATTACTTTTAGGCGAATGAAAATAAAACCGCACAACCGAGACGGTAAACAGAATATTAAATTGTAGCCACGAATTGTGGCCATTTGTTAAATCATTGTGGGGGGGGGAGGTTGCATGCCCTAATAATAAACTTCCTGGACCCATTAAACCAACCACGTGGTTCCACACTGCTCTCAGTAAACCTCTGAGTACGTTCTGGCTCACTTTCTTAACGCCTGTTGCATACGATATTGAGGTTGTCGATCTTGTTATCCACTTAAGCCACGACTTGAGGACATTGTGGCTGTATCTAAATCCATGCCCTCTTTTCTACACTAGGCAATCATTTATCAGTAGGGGAATAGCAAGGCAGAAGTGCAACCATGTGACCTTGTGAGTGCCTGGATCCAAGAAGTCTGAAAAGTGTGGAACTTGACCGAGGCAAGGGTGAAACGTTTGAATGGTGTCAAAGACGTAAAGTTGCTTCACATTTGTATTTTTTATACAATTTTTTATACAATTTATTTTACCAAGGTAAGGCCCACTGAGCTGTTTAGCTCTTTTTTCAGAAGCGACTTGGCCACAAATAAAAGCTCAACGAAGTAGCTTATCTTGTGAAAATGTATATAGGCGTCAAGGTTGGGATCGAACCCACTCATGTATACCAGGCGAGGTAGTTAACATCTCGCCACCGTGGCATCCCATCCCCTGTATGCTGTTCAATTACCCCGTATCATGCTCTATACTAAGTCTAACAGTTATCACATCAATATACCCCATTTCCTTGCCTATCCTTGTTAAATAAAAGAGAAAAAAATCAATAAAACCACCAGTAACCACATTAGTTAAAAATACAAGGTAAAAACCCCGACTGGATGCAGTCAAATTAAACGTCATTATTCCCAAAAATAGGGAAAGCTGTGAATACAGATGCCGAAAAATGTTAACACTTGAAAATGGACACTTTGGCAACGTTTTTTTCTTTAGCAATATACAAATGTAGCCCTCTTTTTCTTATACCAGTATTGCTCGTTTCACAGTGACACAAATCGTCGCGCACACCGCGGTCCACTCACTCTCGTTAATGAAGCGCTCCCTCACTTTTATTAAAACGTAACACACACGACAACTAAAAGCCTTAGGCCTGCTTCGCAAGTACCATTCTATTGCAAGGTTCTCGCATACTGCAACCACCCTAACTCTTAAAGGAAACCTCAATAAAGAAGTTTACTTCATGCCGTGCAACTGTCCTACATGCTCTACCTTAACACGATGTGTTCGATGACCATTGCACAGAATAGGGTTGCAGTCAGGGCCTGCATTTCAAGGCCCGAGGAGGGGACGGTTTATTTTATCTAATTTTAGTTTATATTTATAGAGCGCCTTAGCTCAAGGCGCTTAAAGCAATTTAAAAAGCGATCAGAAAATAGAGTGATTTAGGTGGCGGGGGGGGGGGGCGAGAACGAGTGATCACGATAGAGGGTACTGAGGGATCACGAAAGGGCCAGGGGGAGGGACGTGAATGAGTGGAGGGGCGAAGGGAGGGAAGAGGAGGGGAATGAGCAATGGAGAAGAGGTGGAGCTTTGAGGGGGAAATTAAAGGAGGTTAAGGAGGGGGCCTGCTTAATGTACAGGGGAAGTTTATTCCAGTGGAGGGGATATGGAGGAAGATAAATTGAAAATGTGATGTGGTACAGTGAGGAGAGACAGAGAGATTAGGAACGAAGAGGAGAGGAGGCATGGACAGAGATGAGAGGCAAGATGAGGTGGGGCAAGGCCATGCAGAGATTTAAAGACGAGTGCGAGGTATTTGAAAAGGCAGTGGTGTAAACGGGAAGCCAGTGGAGTCAAAGGAGAAACCAAGTGTGACAATTAAATGGGAGATTATAACCCGCACGGAAGCATTTTTGAGTTTGTTCGAGGGGAATGAGAGCATAGGCAGGGGCACCAAGAAGAAGACAATTGTAGTAGTCCAGACGGGTAAAGATCAGAGCATGAACCTGGAGTTTGAGGGCAGAAAGTGAAAGGAGAGGGCGGAGATTTTCCTAACGATGAGCGCAACCGAGCCAGATGCTAGGAATCACAAATTAACATCACGACCAAGCACCTTCCATAGGGCCACCTCTCATTACAAACATTACCATTGCACATAAAACTAAAACAATAACGCCTTTTTTTTAGAAGAGACTTAAAACAATCCCCTAGGCCTATCCAGCAGTTACGTCAACATACCTTCACGCATAAAGTGCGTTTGGACCCATTCTTAAGAAGAGAGACGACGGAGATGATTTAAAGGAAACGAGACGAGCCAGTGAGTGTGTGCTTGTGAGCGTGAGTGTGTGCTTGTGAGCGTGCGTGTGTGTATGGCTATACAGGGGAGCTTTGTCTTTGTGTGTATGGGAAGGGCGACCATAGCGGTCAGCACGCTGCGCTAGAAACCTAGGGACCGTAATTCGTTTCCCGCTCAGGGCCAACACCAGTCACGATGATCTCAACTGGTCCTGGGCCTCCCCTATGTTGACTCGGCCTCAATTGAGTACCTGGTGCGGTGTGTAAAAACATTGTCACTGGGGAGACAAAGGCGGTCGCGCATCGTGTTTGCCACACCCCCTCGTGTGCCGTTCCAGCCATCATAGGTGCTTGCTAACAGCACTTGCCCCAACAGTCTTTTAAGGCTACATGGGGGATCTTTGTCTTTGAGCATGTGCGAGTGCGTGCGAGTGTGTGCTAACATGTCCACGGCGCTGTCACAAAAGCTCGTGCTCCTCGTCCTCCGATCCCGACGGTCCTTGCCGCACCTCAGCGTACCACTTGTTGGTGAGCGAGCGCATTTGTATCCTGCCGTTGCGTAGGTCCTGTTGAAAAGACACAAAGATCACCCGTATAGCCTTTCACAGACTGTTGGGGCAAGTGCTGTTGTTAGCGAGTAGTGCCTATGAAGGCCGGCACGGCACACGCCTATGTCTGCCGAGTGGCGATGTTTACAAACCACACCGGGTACTTATTTGAGGCTGAGTGGACCCAGGGGAGGCCTAGGACCGGTTCAGACAATCGTCACCGGTGTTGGCCGTGGGGGGGAATCGAATTGGTGTCGCTGGGTTTGTAGCGCAGCATGCTAACCACTGCGCTACCGCTCCCTACGCCTCACACGTGTGCAACAAACACACTGCTCCGCTAAGACAAAGCCACCTTGAGAGAGAGATGACACCATCAAGCCACAGTGTATACACCGATGTCCCTAACGTGTCTTAAGACTTGGAACAATTGTGTCAAGCTCAAAAGACACGCTGAACATGCTGAACTCAAGGAGCATAAACCATCACACAAACTCCGGTCATCCTCACAGCGGCTTTTGGCTAACCATCGAACAAAGACGGCTACTGTATTTCTCGCTTTCAGATACGATTGCTTTATATCTAGATTTCTTTAGAACTGCTTTTAGTGTTTAGTGTGTTGTCCTTCCCCCGTGCCTCCGATTAGCACAGTTGGCTAAGTACGGTGCGAAACAAGTTCAAAATACATACAATACATACCTAGAACTCATCTCATCCATTCCTGACTCCAGCAAATGCCAAGTTAAGCTTATATTTAAGCCTGAGCCCTGCACAATCCCTCTGCCCAGAAGCAGGCTAAACATTAATATACATTTTTAAATAATTAAACTCGCAGCAGTACAACAGTTGTCATTGTGCACATTTCCCATTACCAGTTGTTTTAAATTATTTTGAACACGAAAGCTCCAAATCAAGCTCCAAATCCAAGTTTAAACCATAGGATGGTTCTGCTATCATTAGGTTCACACTTTGGTATAAAAACCAAAATGATATTATTGCTGTAACTAAGTATTAAAAACTGTATGTTTGAAAATATGATAGTAAGTGAAATGTTTGAGAAACAATTAGTCGTATTCATACGTTCATGAATGTTCCTTGAGATTTTTGGTGATAACATGCCGAGGTTTCTATCACTAACATTGCCGAAAACTGCAGCTGCAATGTGTTTTGTCATATAGAGACGTCAATCCGGCCAGATGTCCCGAGTGGGTACACTTTTTATAATCTTAGTTCTTTCGGTAAAGTCACGTTGAAGGGAAACAACAAAACAATAAAATATATATAAAACAATAAAAATTCTCACGACGTTTCGACCATAACACAAACGGTCGTCTTCAGGTGTGTTGGTTTGACGACCGTTTGTGTTATGGTCGAAACGTCGTGAGAATTTTTATTGTTTTATATATATTTTATTGTTTTGTTGTTTCCCTTCAACGTGACTTTACCAAAAGAACTAAGAATATGAATTACTGCAGTCACGAAAGCTTTAAATCAAAATTTGGGTACACTTTATTTAAATGTTGGCTTATTTGTCTCTTTACCCAGTTTTACCGTGTGTGTGAACAGCATCGAGTTGTGTAGGAGGAAGAAATTTCCACCTGGAATTCTTGAAAAGTGATCAGTGCATCACTCCATTTTTTTAAAATGGCCTGCAGAAGGTAATCTTATTTTATCCATATTTATATAAAGCGCCTTATTCCAAGGCGCTTTACAACAATTACATAATTTTATATAAGATTATAGTGGTTGAGATCAAGAGTGGAGTTATTCAAGAAATACTTCTGAGAACCTTTGAAGTGTCCTCGTTTATTCATAAACTAAGGGACGCTATTCCCCGTATGCATTGCTAACGAGACATTTTAATCAAACGGCAATCAAACCACATTTTTTAACTAAATTACATGAAAACTATTTCTTTGTTAATATTTTTTCGCGTGTGCACTCAATGGTGACCAGAATGGGACCATCAACTTTCTATGCTTTAAGACCTGTTTCATCAGTGATAACTGAAACACCGATTTAAGCCCAGAATCTCAATGATGCCAGATCAGTTTTCTGACCTATGACCCACCTGGCCACCTCCAGAGCATGTAATCTAAGAGCTCTGCATGTGTGTGTGCGTGCTCATGTATGTCTGAGTGGAGTGGTCAGTCCATTGCGCTACGAACTCAGCGGTCCTGAGTTCAATTCCTGGTAAGGGCTAACATCATTGGTGAAGATCTTAACTGGTCGTGGGCCTCCCCTATGACTCAGCCTTATATGAGCGCCTAGTGCAGCGTGCGAGCATCAACACTGATGTCGGTCACAACACCCCCTTTTATGCACCATGTTGGCCTTCAGAAGTGCACGGTAAAGGCACTTTCCCCAACAGTCCATAAAAAGGCTCAAGGAGGGGGGGGGATCGGTTTTTTTTTGCGTGCATGTGTCCGTGGACGGGATGCAAGGCCGGGTGGCGCACCTCCTTCGTGATGCGCCGTGTGAAGAAGGGGATCAGGTATTTGGCGTCGAGCCACAGGAAGCCCTTGAGGTTGGGCTTCACGTAGGTGGCCTCGTATTCCTCCTCCGTCAGCTCCGACAGGTGCTCCGTCTCCACTGTGTTGCCCTATCCAGGGAACACGGCGGCACGTGTGAAGGCCGTCAGGGGCCTCTCGTGCGCACATGACAAAACAACTACATTTGGCACACCCCTGAATGCAGGGTGTGCAAAATCCGGGTTTTATATCCGATGTCTGTGCATTAAGTTATGCTGGAACCGTGTCCACATTGATCATACATGTCCACAATCATTGTTGTACTTTTTTGTTTTGCTTTGCCATTTTGATGACTCGGGTCACTTGCCGCTTGGTGCAGAGGTTCATGGTTCGATTCCAGCAGCCGCCCTGATTAATACTGCTGGTGTAATAACAGTAATACTACGTCTGCCTTAAGTGGACGTGAAAAGGTCCTTTGACATCTGTGACTCTAACCCTTTGTGTGTCAGCATCTGGGTCCAAATTTTACAAATTAGAAAACTATCCACAAAACCACTCAATTAGGGTTGTACATCGCTATATACTGGCCGACTCGTGCCCCAGGTCACTATCCTGATCTCTCGAGTGATCTTCGCACACTCGGCTCCTATTTTTGCCTTCAGTTCTCGGATCTGTCTGGGGCCGTTGACGGGGAATGACCTGCTTCTAAATCATCCCACAGAAAACATTCAAAGAGGCGTGAGGTCTGGTCAAAAAAATTACCTCTACTATCAATTTGAGACCATCTCTCCCCTGTAGACACCAACAAAACATGATACACAGCGCGGTGCTGACGTTGCCGCACCATGTGCATGAAGAGACCAATGTTGGCAAGCGATGGCTCACACGAAAGGTATTTCTGTTGTGAGGTGGCCAGCAGTTCAGCAATGGATCATTTAATATATTTGTACGGACTTTAAGCATTATCCCCTATTTGCTGAGCAGTGGCAGTCCATGCCTGTATCCAGGAACTGTACAGGAGATGGTTGGAGGATCGCACAAATATCGTGAAACTCCCTCCCCGTGGGCGTTTAGATGTCATACCTTGGGGCTTGCCAGAAGGTGGTTTAGCAAATGTGGGCTAAGCTCCATCTGTTCCATTTGTATGGGAGAGTGTGTTGCCCCTTCGCATGCGTAGGATTACTCCGGGTGCTCCGGTTTCCTCCTACATGTAAACACTCATTAATTGGCTGATAACACCTCTATGTATAGAGGACCACAGAGCTGAAGGGGAATTTGGCAAATTTGGCACCAGAATCTGCTTGTCTGTGGTTCCTCGCGCATCTGAGTGAAATCTGTATGACGCATTACAAGTTGACATGAATCATTATAACCACGTGTTTTTTTAGGCACTCTGGTTAACTCCCACATGTTAAACACTCATAAATTAAAGTGACCAAACATCCCAATGCAGGACTCTTCTGAAAAACAGAAGATTTCAAAGGGCATAATTCTACTATTACAATATAATCACAAATATTTTTGTACGTTTACTTACGGGTTGGCCCGGAAAACAATTTATAGATCCAGAAATATGAATCTCCAACATTCAATTGTTATGAACTAAACATCTGATATGATGTTCTAATGAATGAAATTTGTATATATATATTAGTTTAGTTTATATTTGTTTGTGTGCATGACATCTGTGAATTTATTATACGACCCCCCATTAACTCAGAACATGAAAGCAAACTAGCGAAGCAGACGTGGCAACTTATCCTATTCAAATCCTATACAAAAAAATAATTGTTATGCAGATGCACATCAGTCTTATTATCACCAGGCATTTATGTACGTTATTACCTAGTGCCCTCGCCACAAAAGGGTGATGAGATGATTGGCAAGAGCAACTCATCGCATGTCCACGTTTGCCAGATTTGAAAACGATGTGAATGTAAGGGGAGTGCTTAATAATGGCTAATGTAATTGGCCAGGGTTAAAAATGTCCCCATGCCCATTTAGCACGCGAGGCAAAATGAGATGGAAATTATCATCATTAGAGCTTCAAGTAATAGACTGATTGTGCAATAACTTAAAGCTCGGCTCTACATTAAGGTGAATTGGCCAATAACAATGGTATGCTTAGCACTTATTAAATGGTCATTATCAACTGTAATTTCCGTATGATTTGTGGATTAACAATTCAGCATAATTTGCCAGCAATAAGAGCCAAACTAAGATCCCTAAGAGGCAATGGTCATTTATCAGATGAGTTACTGCTGTTAAGTAAAGCAGGGGTCCCCAACCCCCGGGCCACGGACCGCTACCGGTCTGTGGCCTGTTAGGAACCGGGCCGCACAGCAGGAGGTGAGAGCGGTCAATCCGCGCATGGAACCTGCACATTATTTTATTATTTACCACTTCCATCCACTCCTCTTTCCCGCACTGCGCACTTGTCTCAGTGACAGTTTTGGTAAGCCCACAAGCTAACCCCTAGTAGCCAAAATGAGTAAAAAAAAAAACAAACGTCACTGGAGAGCTTATTTGAAAAGGGGGAAAGACCCAATGATGAACCCCTCTCCCTCGGTCCGTGAAAACATTGTCTTGCACGAAACCTGTACCAGGTGCCAGAAAGGTTGGGAACCGACTGTAAAGCACAGGCGGCAATGCAGGCTTCGCTTTCTCAATCTCCACTGAGGGGAGAATGAAGTAGACATTATATTTCATCCTTTCATCAGCCTCATCTCCAAACGTCATCATTGTCATTACGTTCATTTTGGCCGAGGCTGTGCCGAGTGGAAGAACCACACGCGTGTGTGTGTGTACAATGGATCGACATTATTAACTGATAACATTATTTTTATACTCACGATACGTGTGTCAAATTGTGTGTAAGAAATTATTAAAGTACGGCAAGTAATTACAATTAATAATTGATGCAAAAGAATATCAATTATATATGGTTGATATACATTAGATTTTGGACCACTGCTAACATCAATAATTCTATTTTTGCTGGCTTTTCACCCACCCTCATGTTTCCACTGACCAGTGCGTGGTAAGGTATGACCAATCACCATGACTCTTATAATGTGAGCGAAGACTTTATCCAGAAAACAAACGGCAGGCTATTATTGTTTTCTTGCACATGCCAATGTGTTACAATTTGCCTACAAAACTGCACATGCCAGACAGAACAAATGAGAAAAAACGCAAACAAACGAGACACTTGAAACGAGACCGAAATGCAACCAAGTCTCAACTCGCATCGTGGCCGCAAATCAAGACGATCCTTCGATTCGCCGGGTGGGGAGGGGGGGCGAATCGTCACGTTAAACACGCGCGTGCCACCGCCACCACCTCCCCTCCCCTTTGTACGCACCATCTTCTCAGTCTTGCTGAGGCTGATGTCCTTGCGCGGGCGCTTGGTACGGGCGCTGGCCTCGTCGATGTCCATGTATTTGACGAGTGGCATGGTGGCGCCGCCCAGCAGCAGGATGGTGAAGAGCACGATAACGATGGTGGTGGTGCCGATGAGCTGTCGCTTCTCGAGCGGCTCCAGCTGTAAATGCAGGCTCAGCGCGTACGGGATCGCTCCGCGCAGGCCTGCGGACACCCCGGCAAGAACAGAAATGGTGACAGCACAGCAGTGACGACAGCAATGATGGCAGTAGCAGCAGCTGTAGTGTCAATGAGTAAAAACGTTGGTGATATTTTTCAGTTTTCTCAAGTTAATTGCTGAATTGGGGTTATAAATATAAATCACTGCCCCCTACTGGTAGACTAATGCACGATTGCAGGCCAGGTGCTGAGTCACCTTGTGCCCACAGTGACAGCTGCCACTGGGGGTGTGTCCTTTCAAAAGTTTGCGATGAGATGTGATATAAAGCACTCGGAGACGAGCCAGCGTGTTGGCTGCTATATCAAAAATAAATCATTGTTATCATGATAACTATGGGTGGTACAATGCATCACCACCACAACCACCCCCTGGCCCCGTGATTAGATGTATCGTCGCGATGCAGTGTCGCGATCTGATTCAAGAATGATTTAAGCACTTTCCCACCTGCCCAGATACAAAGCATGTTCGTCACATGACACACCGACTCTCTAAACTATAATACTCAGAGCAGGAATTTAGCCAAATTAAGCGCAGAACCAACTTCTGTGTGATGTTTATTCTTATGCGGTCAATAGGGACTGGCCTGAGACCATCCATTAACGACACATTAGAACCTAGTTTAATTACAGGATCTCGGCTGTGCCAGCTCAAAGCTCTGACGTCCGAGCCACATGGCCACATCAAGAATCATTGTCTATTTTAAATATTGCTGTGAATGATAGGGTCCCGAGCGGCTGCCATTGGCGATGTACCGCGAGTTACGTAGATACGAAGAAAAAAAACACATTGATTTCTTACACAGGAAATACGATGCATGAATCATGAACGTAAGTATCTATATGAAATTTATAAAGCAATGCTTTGTTACACCCCTAGGTAATACCAAAAAGAAGTAGTTCGAAAGGGAATGCAGTGAATGTCAGGTTATCCACTTCTTTCAACAGCACATGCACCAAAGTGCACAATGAAACTCATTATTTCTAGCTGTGGGGTTTGGGGGAATAATTTGGAAACCCTCCCGTGTAACTCTCATTACTCCCCAAACAATTACCTTCGACTCCATGACCAATCAGATTTTATATTACATTAGAACGTTCACAATTAGCCACGAATTTTTTTTTATTCTGCACTTAGTTAATTGAGAGGGGCTCTCCGCTGTTAGTGCCGTTAAATTTAAATCCACGACGTTGCCAAGTCAGCAAAGATAGCATTAAGAGCGCAAGTAATTGGAGTAGTAATAGCAGCATTACCTTAATAATAACATGAACATTAGATTCACCAATGCCAATTGCTAAATGAGCAAAAAAGAACCTTCAACAAAAGCAGGAGCACGAACATGCAAACGACAAAACACCTGATATTTGTCAGTGGTGTAAAAGCACAAATAACAATAAAACTCAACACATCCGTCAACAACAGTGCCTTAAAAGGAAAAATAAACACCAAAACCTTGCTCATCGCGGGTTTTCCCATTGCGGATTTGACCATTCCATACCAAACTTATTCAGGTATAAAGTTCACCGATTGCACCACTGTGGTTCAATCATTCGCGGATGACAGTGAGATTCCTTAACGCACCATAACGTAATGTAGCCGAACTGCACGGCACGCGATGATGTTGCTCCCGCGGGAAAAGTACACATTCCGTCATCATCATTCATTGTTCATGATGATGAACATTGAACCAAAACCTAGTTTTCCCATATGCCTTTGAGTTTATGGATCACGGATTTGATGACTGCGCTATTTGAAAAAACGTAACCCCAGCCGCGATGGGCCAGGTTTTGGCGTTATAATAGTTGTGACCTTTTAGGCAATGACCCTTCTTCACAGCACATGATGAAGAGAGGCCAGAGAGATGGAGTGCAAAAGAGTTGGAGACTGCACTTTGCAGGTTAATGCGTCCGTATTTGGCCAGGACAGGATTGGCCGCCTCACCGCTGAACCACATGATGAACTGCATCTTGGGAGTAATTTTGTGGTCCCTGAAGAAGTTGAGCAGGAAGGACAGTGGGTAAATGTTGATAGCACGACCTACAAGGATCAACACCTACAAAACGAGACAAGTGGTAATGGTAATATCCTCATATAATTTAAAACATTGCATCGATAAAACTAGCAATCAGACGTGTGAAGAAGAAACTAACCTACAGCAATCTTAACACTTTGCCCTCTCTTGCCTTCACCAATACAAACTGACCAGCATGGTGAAGAATGGTCAAAAATCCAAATGACCAACAAGGCTTTGGAGAGTCTTATGTCCATTGGTGGATTGATATTGGGTATTGTTTATTTGTGCTTAGCTGTGCAATTGCTAAAATGTATTATCACACATCACTTAAGTGCCATAACATTAGCTTGAATTTAGTACAGGTATCCTAAACGGTTGTGTCCTTGTTTGTACAAGATTTGAGGTGTTATATATAAATGTAGATTATTTTTGTACCATGGTAAAACCGTGTTTGATGTATTTGATCTAACAAAGAACTTACGATGCACCAGATGACAAAGGAGATTTCAAATTTGTGCGGGAAGCTGAAGATTGCCAGCCCCAGGTAGGCAAACATGCATGTCTCTGCAAAGCAAAGCGGACACTAAACACAATGCATGACAGTTTACAGCACAACTTCCCCTGCAGGGTGAGTGATAAGTCCCCATGCCCCTTTACCACTGAGTGTAATAACAATCCTTTAAGACGCGGGTGTGCATGAACTTCCTGTCCACTCGATGCATCAAAGCACCATAACGAACACACCCCCAGGATATTGCAGACGCTTTCAGCAAGCAGCTGGAATGCACCAATAGGTACATCAATGAAATAAATTAAATTATAACGTTCATGCTGTGTGGACTGAACCATACACGGGAGCCTTGATCATTTTCGAATTATTATGATGACGTTATTGTTTTTACATGTACAGAGACTGAAAAAATTACACTATTCACAAGTGAAAAAAAGTATCAATTATTGAATCAACAGCAACTATGAACTATACAAATTCATCAAAATGCTGGTTGGGATTTAAGGGGGGGGGGGGGGGGTGATCATCAATGACCTAGTATGTAGCTCTCAATAAGAGACCTGTGCATTAAATTCCCTAATCCAGACGAACATGTCTGATATTGATCAATGAATGTGGCCAGTACAGTATTGACTTTCACATTCTCATATATACCCTACCACACAAGCAGGCCATTATAACTCATATTAATAATACAACCGCCAGAAGGCTTTTACCCTCATGTGGATCAGCTGCACACTTGAGAACATGTTAACCTTTCCCGCAATAAAGCACCACCCCTGCTCATCCTCCCATCCAATCTGTTTGCCCGCTAGATTCACGCTCTGCTGCCGGGTTTCCCAGCCCCCGGGGTGCTGCGTATGCCTGTGTGCTCGCGTACCGCAGAGGAAGGCAACTGTGCGGAGGGTTTGCTGCATGTTGATCTGCGTGATGGGCGAGAGGTTGTGATGCGTGTAGTGGGACATCACGATGCCCGTGAACAGGATTGCCATGATACCTGAAAAACAAAGGCGCCCGTGCATACCAGTCACACAGCCATCACAGTATAACGTAGGTCACAGACACAATAAGAACTTCAGCCTGACCATTAAAATCAACATCAATTTACAAGTAGATCATTATTTGCTTCTAAAAGCCCAAACTCATCTGAACATCATTATCAGTGAAGGACACGCTAGCCTTTGAATAATTGATAAAAATCGTAGCAGCGTACATTTTGTGTTTTCAATGTGCATGTTAATATGGAGGGACGAAAACATAACGCAATCACGTTTGCAACATTATGAAATAATATTATGAAAAAAAAACACGTGCATAATAGCATGAAATGCGAATGCACATTGCGTGGAAGGCACACATTAGAATGCATCTGTGCAATATGTGCACAATGTGTGATCACACGTACCTGACAGCTTTAGGCCCTCGCAGAGGCCATATGGCAGATATGCAAATATTATCATCATCCCAAACTCCAGTGAAGGGGTCATCCTCAGGTCAATGTGCTTCAAAAGGTGAACAACTTACTAAGGCAAATGTGACAGATTTGAAATCACCAATTTAAATGAACATGAAGACATGCAAATGCGTCTGGATAAATGGTTCGCCGTGGCAATTGTTTGGCATTGTTTATTGAACGGCAGTTAATGCTGCCTGCGAATCGAACATGTATCAGAGCATTTAAACATTGTTGGATAATTATTGCGATCATCAAAATACTGTATTCAATTACTGTATGGGCAAATCATTAATTAACTAAATATTCCAGTGTAATTTGCACGTGAATAATCATTTGAAATGGAAAAGCAATTAAAATGAATTTGGAAATATTAAGATATTAAATATGTTGTGAGAAAATGTTGATTTTTGGTTGACGAGAGCGCACCAATAACTTACACTGCTAATTTTTCATTACTTACACTGCAATACATGAGATTCTGTAATTTTTATATCTTTTAAAGACTGGTTTAAGTGCATAATTTACGACTTCATGAACAGAAGGCCACTCCGGGCCTCTCTCAAGGTCAACATGTTCGCTGCGTTGAATGCGTTTTGCCTCGAAAACATTTCCGGTGCAGTGAATGGGATTGAATTCCTCACGTCAGCTGCTCTAGGTGTCAAACTTGCGAATAATTTCTGCTGACAACAAACACTCCCGCAATCACATATCCCCAAAGTCTCTCCTGCTCGCAGGCATTGGCCGTCCGCGCCCGGGCACCACCGCCCGCACGCGTTCGGTGTTGGCAATAAAAGGATATGAGAGCGGAGATGAGCGCCAAGAGTATTCCCAGCGCTGCTGAACCAAAGAACATTTGCAGGAAGTTTGTGAACGCCTGCAGGAATGCATGGGAGCCACTCACATCCGACTTATCGGGGCTCGTGAGCCCTTCGGCCGTGCTGCAATGCAAACAAAAAAACATTAACTGGAGCGATGCAAACACAGCACAACAACAAAGGGGCGGATGCATATCTTGCAAAGACTCATGACAAGACATCTGGCGTCATATAAACACATGTTAAGTATATATAAGCATAACTCTGTTCTTTGTTTCTGCATATTCATATTCTATAGTCCCTTGGCTATTGGCTTAAAAGACAAATATTAGCCAGCAGTATTTGTTTAAGCAAACAAATTCTGCACTGGGTTTGACGTTCTGGGATTGGCAAATGCACTCCATCTCCACTATGGGGGTCTGTTCAATACAAACAGAATACATATGATGACAGAGTGGTGCAGTAGTAGCACATGTGGTTTACAGCACAAAGGGCCTGAGTTTTATTCCCGATTTGGGTGCTTTTCTGTGTGGAGTATGAATGTTGTTCCCCTGTTCTGTATGGGTTTTCTCCAGGTTCTCCGGTTTGGTCCCATAGCTAAAAACATAATGTAATTGGCATCCCAAGTTACTCAATTGGGATTAAACATAGCAACATCGCCTCTTTAGTGCAACACACTTGGTAGGGCCTTTCTGAAAAAGAGTCTTGAGAATCAGTGTAGCTTTCCTGGGTCAGCAAGTATAATAAAAATACAAACACGTTGTTGTGGAGCATTATGGGGAAATATATCTGCTGAACTCCACCTTGTCTCTACAAATTCATAAACTAAACTATAAAACTACTTTTATTTTACTGGGTAAGGCCCACTGAGCTATATAGCTCTTCTTCAAAAGAGACTTGGCCACAAATGATAACTCAATGAAGAGGTTTATCATGTGGAAATTTATAGGTGACAAATACTCAAAATGCATGTTTCTAAAGGTGGAGGGAAAAATCGGAGGACCCAGGGAAAATCCACGCGATCACGGCGAGATCATGCAAACTACAAATATACAACAGGCATCAGGGTCAGGATCGAACCTACGACCTGTATACCAGGAAAGGTAGTCAACATCTCGCAAGACCAATTTAATGTGGCGTGGGTACGAACGCAACTGACGTGTGTGAAGCGGTGGGGCGAAGGCTCACTTGGTCAACACGATGGCGACGGCATCGTTGAGAATGCTTTCGCCAAACACCAACATGTTGAGCACGGGGTCAATGCTGAGCGCGTTGAATATAGCGATCGTGGCCACAGGATCGACGGCAGAAATCATTGAGCCGAAGGCAAAGCTGCAGAATTCCCAAGGTCACATTCAGTGGATGAGCGGTGGGTGAGTGATTTAAAAAAAGGGGCAAGGAAAATCAATGTGAGAGTGTGGATGCATTCACTCGCACTTACCTGTCCATCATAGTCAACTTGTAAATTACATCTGCCTAAAAACATAGAAGGAGGAAGCATTTAAACAATGAAAATTGCATTTTAATCACCAATTAGCTCGCGTCAACATGAAACTTTTTTTATTGCCAGCCTTATAATAGTTTTTATTACAAAACACACCTGTCCCAGAATGTATATTCCTCCTCCGACTGCTGCAGCCGATAAGGCAGTTCCAAATACAGCAAACACAGCGATGGAGCCGATATTCTGAAAGAAGTTTCCCTGCAGGATATTGTAAATACAGTTCAGTCACATGCGGTAAATCTAAATATGTAACACACATTGATGTATGTATGAGAGCATTAATACATGAAAATCAACTAAGCCCTGGAATTTTTGTAATTTTTAAGAATACATTTTCTAAGTGGTGAAATCAATTAATTGACTAATGGCATATTAGCAGTGATTCAATGTACTCTATGCTTTTACTTTAAGCCATTGACACCTCTGCTGAGGCTGACAGATTTAAACACGGATATTGGATTTTATGTGTAAAGCTTGACCTTCAAATGAACACGAACCTTGTGTAAGGAGTATCCAGACTCAAATATGATGGGTGGTAGGAGGATAAGGAAAAACATGTTTGGCCGAAACATTTCCTCTTCCTAGATTTGAGGGGGGGGGGGGAAACCCACATTTATTACACACGACATGGGTATGATAAGTTGGAGAACAGATCTTGCACTTTTAAAACCATGAATGAACAAAAATACACAAACACCCACCTTCCAGTTGGCCAGTTTGTATTTTTCCACAATTCTAATGAAGGCTCCAACAACAATACCTGAAACACACAGAACCCACAAAAATGGCAGCATATGTTTTGCTATTTTTTGTAATCTGTATTTTATTTCCAAATTCTATCTTAAATGTGCATTCACTGTCAAGTCATGAAAGGAAATATTAATTTGTTTTATGTTCATCAAAGGCGAACAGATGTCTATATCTCTGAGCTGCCTCTGAAATCCCTTCAAGCAACCTCTGATCCACAAAATAGAGGGCAGCACTTTCCCACTCATCCTCTCACATTACAGTAATGTTTGTTGAATGATACTCAAGCCAATATTCTTAAATTCTCAGAGCTGGACTTTGTCCAAATGAAGTTGCAAAACTAAATGGGATGTTATTTTTGGCATGTCAGTGGGAACCGCGCTGAGATACCTAATTTATTTTGAATTTCATAATTTGTCCAATCATAAAAAAGTCCATCAGCTAAATTATTACTCAGAAACATCCTTTACGAGACAAGGCCGCGTGCACATTAAATGCAGTGTTCACCAACGTTTGTGCACTTACCCAGAAAGACAACAGCCACGCTCTCAGGCAGGAAGTGCAACTTGAATTTAATGAGCAGACGCACCAGGACGATGCAAAGAGCTGAAAAAAACAACCGGTGGTTTTCACACATAAACGCACAGCCCTTCTGTCAATCCGCTGATGAAAGAGGGCCTACCCATGCCGTGCTGGTTGAGGCAGTTATTTTACCTTTTGTTATGACGCTGGTGAGTGCGGGTTAAAGGCAGGGAGCATATAAGTTGGTGTATAGTAGAGCACAACAACGGATTTTGCTGCACTGCTCTCTGCTGACAACTTAACTGCTGCAGCCATGACACCTGCTTCATGCATGATGGTCACCCTATCCAGGCCCAGCCCTGTTTAGCTTCTGCAATCTAATAAGGTCAGGCACATTGCAGGTGCTTTCATCAGGCAGTGGTTTCTGACATGCTCTATTCTTTTCTAATTTCACACTTTACCCATTTGCAGTTTAATCACAATTGTGCACGTTACAAAATAGCATTAGTATTATCTCAGAACAGTGGTGAAATAGTTGTTACCATAGTAACATTATAAAATCATATTTTTATGAATGGTAACTAAAGAGGGTTTCATGACTCTGGATTAAAGAACCCAGACCTTATTGCGTGACATTTTTTATTTATTAGAAAATACCAATAAGGTCAACAAGTGTGGCTTAGCTGTAGTGCATTCAGGGGATTAAGTGGCCTCACCCGGTGATTGGCAAGGGGGTTCATTAAGTTCTACTGTGTCAGCGAGCACAGTGAATAAGGCAAGCTGGCACACTGCATTGAACTCTCCCTAGGGAAAATATCCAATTACCCTGCAGTCAGCATAGTCGTATTTCAATTGGGGTCCATAGGTCACCTTGCGACCTGCCCAAGGCGTGCACCAGGTACTCCCAGAGCAAGGGCTTACATTTTACAAATAAATACACTGACATGAGTGCATACATGTACATGACAACTCCTAATATCTGCGGTGATATGGGTGACCAATATCACAGATACGATTATCTGCGAGGTTATCAGCGATTTCACTCTTATCAACAGGGGGAAGATTTGTGGATAACCCATGGTTAATAGGATTAATTTGCCAAGCGACACCTCTATACGTGAAAAATAATGTGTAATAGGAGTCCTTTAAGTGCAGCAGGGATCTTTGCAGCACCATTTATTTGCATCCAAGTGCAAATAGGTGGTGCTTCAAAGACATGTGTCCATCTTCATATCCCCTTATGAACAACAAAGACACACACACAAACACGGAGACACGTGTCTGTGTGTGTCTCCTTGTCTTTGTGTGTGCCTTCGTGTTTGTGTGTCTCTCTGTCTTTGTGTATCGGTGTGTGCATCTCCGTGTCTCTGCAATTGTGGGGAGCGGTGGTGGAGCGGTTAGCATGCCGCACTACGAACCCGGCGACCCAACTTCAATTCCTGCTCACGGCCAACACCAGTGATGAATATTTGAATTGGTCCTGGGCCTCGCCTAGGTCGACTCAGCCTTAAATGAGGACCTGGTGTGGTGTGTAAACATCGCCACTGGGCAGACAGAGTCGGCTGGCCATGGTGTTGGCCACCAACCCCTTTGTGTCCCGTGCCAGCTTTCATAAGTGCTTTCTGACAGCAGTGGCTCCTCGCATTTCAGTTTCAGTTTTCAGTTTCAGTTTATTTTGGTATAGCCCTGTGAGCCATTCGGCTCTTAAATCGGGTGCAACCACAAAAACAAAAAAAAACTAAAACACGAACAAGAAAAACATCTTTAAGTGACTGTGACTGTGCAAACAGAAAATCCATGGGAAAAAAAACAGCAAAAATATTCCTGATTAATAGCAGCAGATTAAAGATGTAATTTTAGATTTGTTATCCACTCAATTGTCTGTTCAGAAGCAGAGTGGATCTCGTCCATTCCTCCTTTAAAGGAGTGAAAACAGCAGGTAGCACTTGCCCTAATAGTCAGTTAAAGGCTATATGGGAATCTTTGTCTCTGTTTTGTCTGCAAGTGTATTAGTGTCTATATGTGTCCCTGTTGTCTCGTGATCAAATACAATGCTACACATGCATTTGCTTTGATCATGGCTATTTGAGATCTCATTCGCCACAAATGTTAGCTGTTGACAGGTATCAAAAATGTGGTGACTGGTTATATAGCACAGTGCTGTACCCACTGCACAACCGTTCACCACCACCACCCCCAAAAAAGTGATAAAAAACAACCATGCCTTTCCATTTCCTCCACTTAAAACTCATAATTTGCTTTCTGCATGATCCCACATGGCAGAGGTGAACCCACCGAGCACGAGCAATATGAAGAAGATGGTCATCCCGCTGGACTGCTCCTCACGCTGCGCCTGCTCCCCGGTCTGCACCGGCAGGATGGGCTTTGGAGGGGTTGGAGCTGGAGGTGGCTGAGTGGTGGTGCTCGGTGGCTCCACGGTCCTGTTTCTGTTTGCCTCGGTCTCATTTACAAACCTCGAAAAATGTAAAACGACACATTGTTATTGTTCATAAGTTTTCCTTTTTAATCCTAAACTAAACAATTTTTATTTTACCAGGAAAGGTCCACTGAGCTACATAGCTCTTTTTCAGAAGCGACCTGGCCACAAGTGATAGCCCAATGAAGTGGCTTATTAAATGGAAATTTACAGCAGTCAAATACTCTAAATGCATGTTTCTAAATGTGGAGGGAAAAACCGAAGGACCCGGAGAAAAATACAGGCGACCACGGGGAGAACATGCAAACTCCAAATATATAGGTGTCAGAGGCGGAATTGAATCCATGACCTGTATGACCAGGAGAGGTAGTTAACATCTCGTAACCACGATGCAATCGAATTGTGATGTCATTCCGGTAAGGCCTCGTTTAATGCGTGTTCACACAACGTGTATATAATGCATTATACAACACGTATATAATGCATTATATAACGCGTATATAATGCAGTTATTTCATTCGAGAACTCCTTTAGAACACAACTTGCCCATTATAACATGGTTTCTGAGTGATCAACAATCGAATACTTTTTTTGAGCTGCGCGACTGAGCTAATTCCCATAATGAATATACAGTAATTCCTCGCACAATGCGCTGTCGCTTATCAGGAACGCATCTACCGTGTTATGTGACGGAGTATATTGGTTGGAACTCTTACTGAGCAGTACACATTGTGTTGGAAAACGGCCTGTGGAAGCAACATTTTAAGAACTTATTTTAAGATCACAGCAAGTCACGTATTTATTCACACACTAGGTGGGTACAATTTCCCACATGCCCTGCTAAAGAGAGGGACAGATGATTGTTGCATGGAAAACATATTTTGAATTCTGAGGGTTAGAATTTAGTTAAATTAAGTAAATATCGATTTAATGTCTTGGAGATGTTCTGTAGCTATGTTTGTGGTTGGACTAAAACAATAAACTCATTACATCTGAGACCCGGTTTAACCATGGGAGGTTGCCTAAATTCAAACAGGATATCAGTGGTGCTGGATGATTGTAAAGATTCCACAACCACCTAGAAGGCTCCCATTGTCAAAACGTTATACTGCTGTTGAAGCTATTGAATGCCAGGAAGTGAATGTTTAAGACTACATAAACAAGAGTGTTAAAAGAGACCCGTGGCTTTGGGAAAGCGTGCCCTCCTACCGATGCAAAATGTGAACTATGAATGATCAATAACTACCACTGAATGTTTCTGGCAATGCTTCCTTTCCACGTGAAATTATTTGCTTCGCTGTGCTGTGGAGTGAGCCGCTGTTGTACTTCTTGGAAACTTGGTGCAATTGTTTTCTGATGTACAGGCACCTTTTACTTGAACATTTATCTAAATCATTGCAATGTACACATTTAAACTGAACCAAATTTTGCAATACCATATTCCATCTTCACCGGGTTAGTCCATTAAATGCAAGCAGCTAGTGAGGGAATACACATAAAAGAAAGAATGGATATCAAGGGGAGGGGAGTGGGGAAGTCCTGAAGTTTATTTTATTTAACTACGCGACAACTTGACGATTCCACGATATATTCTTAGCTCTTTCGGTAAAGTCACGTTGAAGGGAAACAATAAAATATATATAAAGCAATAATATTTTATTATTTTATTGTTTCCCTTCAACGTGACTTTACCGAAAGAGATAAGAATATGAAGTACTGCAGTCACGAAAGCTTTAAATCAAAAGATTCCCCGATAGTCTCTTTTGCAAGCGTGACCGAGGGTATGAGTCTGCCAGTATGGGGTGACGATTGCTATGCATCCATTCGTAATTTGTGAGTCACTTTCGAACGTGTCAAAGTTAAAGCTTGAAGTACAGTGGCCAATGCTTTCTGAATTACGTCACGGGATGTTTACCATCCACTGCGAAGCAAACGGCGCACATTATTATTCTCGTTATTATTAACATCTTTCCACCATGTCAAATTACTTTTAATACAATTGAGTGCGGTATTCACTTAGTTAATGAAGTTGCACTTTCTAGTGAGCATTTATAATGACAATAATTTCAATTCATTGCTCGATAAAGACCTCCCCACGACGTGTTGATCGTTGGCCTCGTTTGACTACTTCACCACGTTGGTTTGTGTGGGTTGAAGAAGGGGGGGTAGGAATGGGGGCCCAGGACCGGATCAGACATCTCTCTCTACTGGTGATGGTCATGGCTAATCATGGAATGGAGGTCGCGCAATGCACCACTGCTACCCCCCACTCCCAGTTATGTTATACAGTCATTTTTAATTATCATGATAAACTTTACGTTGAGGCTAAAGTACATTTGTTTTGTCAGCAGCTGCCGACTGATGCAACTTCATTTACTGCACGAGGGTAAACCATAGGGACTATTGACTTATCTGAGAGAGAGATGACATAACATTTATCATATGATCGGTGACTGTACTTTTCAATAAATCGTCTCAAGTGAAAGCATAAGAAAGGGAGCTGGCATTACAGATGCATAATTATCTTTTATTACACGTACTTAAGCAACAAATGTAGACTCTCACTCAGGGTCTAAAAAATGTCAACGTGGCATTCACCATGTTTTTTGTTGCTATGTGTTATTTCCTGAGCAAATAAATTATGTATCTTCATTCGCAATGTGTTGTGGCTTTTTCCCTGGTTCTCGAGTTTCCTGCCACACGTTAATGGAATTGACCAACCATTGAAATTTAGCAGGAACCTCGTGATAAAAGGATGTCGAGACTCGGAGAGGCTTTCGTGGCTAAATTCCGTATTCCCCGGATTATAATAAAATACGTCACGCAAACGTAATGGTGCGTCTTATCATTCGATGTTTGACCAGCTTTGTACATCTCCAATTAGCACGGTTGGCTACGTACGGTGGAAAAGAAGTGCAACATACATACACTATACCTGTAAACCCATACAGCTTACCCGTATTCTTGTAAAGTCAAATTGAGTTTTCAGGTCCATACGACGTACAGCCGTTTAAATACGGGCAAAATGTTTTGTCTATTTGTTTGTTTCTCCCTTTTGATGAGACTTTGTAGGATGAACGTTGAGATTTATAAAGGCACAGGGTGATCAATAAGGTCCGAATTCGTCTGTTTTAAGGTAGGCACCGATAAGCGTTTGACAGGTATGATACACAGACATCTGGCACACGTTTCTGGTGCGTCTTACTTTCAGCAAACGTCTTATAATCCGAAGCACGGTAAATCATCGTACGAGTGCAGTGCTACTATTGCCGTTCTGCGTGTTATTACCGTTCTCTCTGGAGCTCAATCTCCTCCTTGTCCTCCCCCTCCTCGCTCCCTCTGGCACCCCCGGCAACCTGCCGGTCCCCATGCTCCACATCCGTCAGTGGCGGCGGTGGCGGCTTGAGCTCATCTCCTCCGGAATCCAGTTCCACCGCGCCGAGGTCAGGCCTGACGAGGTGACCCTGCGCCCCGACCTTGGCCTCGCTGCCCTTACCACCCTTGACCTCGGCTGACCCCGCCGGCGCCACGTCATCCTCTTTCCCCACCTCCACTCTACGCAGGTCCGACCTGCTCAGCTGCTGCTGCGGCTGTGGCTCGACGCCGCCGCCCTCATCGTCGGCCGCCACTGACCCGGCGCGAGCTGTGGCCTGCACCTCGTCGCCGGCCCCGCCGTCCGCGTCGCGGCCTGCCGGACCCTGCGAAGCGCCCAGCGCGAGCGCGACGAGGGCGGCCACCGCGACCCAGCGCGTGGTGCGGGCGACGCGAGGCATGGGTGTGGCGAGCGGCTGTATCGTGACGACGGAGACGTTGTTGTTGTTGGGTTTTGTTGTTGATTTCGTTGTTTGTGTTTAATTCGTTCCACGCCGGGAGTTGTCGATGTTTACGGAACTCGACTTCCCAGGCGGGCTGTGCGCCGCGCACTGCACGACGGGAGATGGAGGATCAGCCCCGCCCCCTAGCTCCGCCCCCCAGCCCCGCCCCAAGTCCCCACACATTCGCACCCCCCCCTATCCCACTCTCTCGTCCCAGCACTGCATTGAATGAATGAATGCGTTTGGTGGGAAAGGTGTAGCATTGATCAGGAGTTCATAATGGCCATGTGAGGTTGGAAATGGCCATGTTGGGGTACTGTACTGAGCCCGCCACTGTTAGGAGCCTGAAATTGAGACCTCAGTATAATTTTCACACGGGCCCCTTATCAGTGCTCAGCTTATCACAAACCAATTCAGACCGTATTGGTCACCCCTTGCCCTTATACATATCAACGTTCATCCTGCAAAGTCCCATCACAAGGGAGAAACACAAACAAATATATATTTTGCCCGTATTGAAACGGCTTTACGCTGTATAGCAAGGCCGTGGCCATGGAGTCAACATTGGGGGGGACCAAATCTTCCAGAGGGTCTGGGGGGTCCCCCCCAGAAAAAAAATCTCAATGTGAAAACTCATTTCCTGCTACTTCCTGCCTAAAATATAAAAAAATCACTAACACATGGGATGGACTTTTTATTTTTAACAATAATGTCTAAGAGTGTATTGTATTACATTGCTCTGTTTTTTTCTTTTTTACCTTTTCTTGTTTCATTGTATGTAATGGCAGAGATTAGGGATTAATAAAGTACAACCATAACCACAATCATATAAACAGATATCTATGCATTGTTATATGAAGACAAGTCCAGATATTGTGGCCAAGGTTGAGCAAATTGTTGTTTTTATTTACATAGCATCGCAAATTTTTTAAAATTATTTTATAGCAATGTATTGGTGGGGGCATTTTTAGCATATTAGAATATAATTACGGCCTTGCTGTATAGACCTGAACACTAAATTTCCCTGTACAAGAATACGGGTAAACCGTGTGGGTTGACAGGTACGGGTTCAAAATGAAAATATCGGCACGCTATTCCAGCACCGCTGCGGATCTAGGTTCGAGCCCTACTTAGTTTGGATATTTCACTGTTTTTGCGGGGATCATAATACCCATGTCAGGTTCATAATGGTTGTGTTAAGATTAATGAGCCGGCATTGCTGAGATCTTAGTTGCAGTCTTAACTCTGGATTTCTCGCTGTATCACGTGGATTATAATGGACATATTCTTTGGGTCTTTCGGTAAAGTTACGTAGATAGGTTCAAAGAAAATACCAAAAAACTACGACGTTTCAATCGCAACACAAGCAGTCGTCTTCAGGAAAAGGTGCTCAGTTTATCACAGATCACTTGTGTTGCGATCGAAACGTCGAAGTTTTTTGTTATTTTCTTTGAACCTATCTATCTAAGTGACTTTACCGAAAGACCCAAAGAATATGAATTCCTGCAGTCACAAAAGCTTTAAGTCAAGATATAATGGACATGTTAAGTTGATAGTGGCCGTGTCAGAGCAGTGAGCCAGAACTGCCTAGAATCTGGTTTTAAATCCTAGTGTTAGGTGTATCTCTGTCAGGTGGCTCATAAGGGCTTTGCCAACTTCATAATTGCAATGTTTGGAAAATAATGACTATCCCCTGGGCTAGCACGGGCTGTGGGCCAGGGTCCCTCTGATTTTAGAGTCTTCATAATGACCAAGTTTCTTAATGACCACGTCAGGGCACTGAGCCAGTATCACAGATCTTGGGTTCAAGCCCTGTGTCAGGGTTACTACCAGGGGGACCAATGACTTGAAAAATCATAATAATTGTGAAGTCAGGTTACAATTGACTGACAGAGCACTGGGATGGCACTGCTGAGATCTTGGGTTTGACTTTTGGTTTTAGTCATCGGTTATTAAGCCGGCTTCTCTAGTATGTGCAGTTGATGAGGTCAGCTTAGTTATACATGATTGTTCAATCAGTTTTACTTAATTTACCTATATCCAGATATAAACATGCAGTGATTTGACATGCACTGTAATAGTGCATGGTATGTTAACTGTAGGGATTATATGATGACCAGGTGTAGAGCCATCAGGAGAGAAGACTATTGTACGTGGAGGAATGATTATGACATTATGTTATAAGTGGTGGGGAGTACCAAAAACAAAAAAGCATTGTGCCTTATATTGGTCGCTTTGATCTCAAGGCCACAGGGAGGTGTTGGGCAAGTGCTTTGTCTTAGGTCTTAGATCAGAGGGGCCTCAGAAAGGGCATTTTGCCCTGGGCCTCTAAAAGCCTTTTTGCTACCCTGCTTGACCAGTAATGGAATCCCACATTCCTATGGCCAGGATTAGTATATTTTAGCACAAAACCATTATTGACTTCCCTGCACTAAGGAATGTTATTTTTTATTTCATTGACTCTTGTCCTGAGAGATTTAGATGGGATGGGTTGAGCCTGATACGATTAACGTTAAGACGACTGTGATCTAGTTCAGCTGTTAAGACATTATGCCTCCCATTCATGATGTTGTAATTGAAAATGCCTCCTAGACCCATCACCCTTCCAGGGTCATCAAAATAATTATTAGTGTTTCTCGATGTTGTATAGAAAGCATATTACATACACAGCTGTAGGTGTGCATCATGAAGCCATGATCAGCCCACTGTTGGATGAAAGGTTTCCCAAGCCTTTGCAGATGCAGTTCGCTGTAAGTCAGCTGGAGTAATTTATAATAATGAGGAATGGGATATTGAGTGCCTTCATATTCAGGATTTAAAATAATAGAAATGATGGATTAAATATGATCGCAAAGTTGAAAGGGGTTGACAATATTGTCAATACACATAATTGCTTCAGCAGAGCCTTGGCGTGCTGCTAAAACGCCAATGGTACTTTATATGTGCGACTATGTACAGGAAACCGACTGAACAATAAAGTGTTGATTTAAAACCAAATAATGGTTAAAAAGTAAAAATTGTGATTTCTTTCCCCCAAAAGTTTTAATGTCAAACGGTTGTAATAAACCGTTTATTCTTTTTAAAAAAATCATAAATCAGTCGTGCTTTCATTAAAACTGTTGCACTAAGATGGTCAACATAATGTAAAATCGAATATAAAACCATGCAGTGATATTACAGTAGTACAATCTTCTGCGGTGACATGGCTTAGAGGTACAGAATGCGAGTTCGCCTCTTGTTGCCGGGGGGCGGGTGGGGGTGCGGTTCGAATCCAGCGGCCGACCCGGTCATTAGTGCGGCCACATCAAACATAAAACACTACATCGGACGTTAAATATCCCCTTGACGTCATGCGCAAGAGCGGGCTCACTGTGTGTTGTTGCCAAATTTGTAAAGTACCCGCTGGCAAGCGAATGGTCCATGTCACTTTTGCATTAGACAAATCCTAGTTTTCATGTGGCTAAGCAGAGCCGTCCCGACGGTACGGCGAATCCGGGCGACCGCCCCGGGCCCCGCTTTTTGGAGGGTGGGGGGGGGCGTCACGGTGTACGATTGAATACTTTCGGTTTAGTTTGAAGGCGTCGAGGGGGGTCCCACGCGGTGGGATTTGTCCCTTGCCCCCCACTATGGACGGCCCTGATTATAAATTACCCATTTTTATTGTGATTCTGCATTGGCAGTGGTGCACAAATGATACATCTCAAACACATTCATCAATAACATTGCCCTAAACGGAAGGGCCATTGCCCGAAACGTCGCATTATATATCCCTTTGGGTATGGGTGTTATTATTGCTCATCAGCCAATCGGGCTGCGTATACTTATCCGCGCTACGAAATCCACCAACGCGTGCAATCGTATTCCATAGGACGCACGCGCATAGAACGCTCTGATTTCGTAGTGCGCGTAAGCGGTGGCGCCGGTCTGTGATTGGATCATGCGGGCCGTGGTGCCGCTTATACGCGCGATGAAATGTAGTCGTTCTGGGCGACTTCCCCCTTCATGGCAACGGCGGGAAGGCGGCGGCGGTGGCGGACGAGCTATCGTCGCTTGCGCTGAGGAGAAATACATTTGTACTAAAAACATTAAATACAAAAAAAATATAAACAGTGGTGAACGTTCAAAAATATACATAAGATCAAATTGCAACTAAGATGAAGAAATCGTCCCGCCGTTTGCTGGCGTTGCTTTTCCTCTTCAGTTTCTCATCGTCTTTCATGTACTTCATCTACGTCGCACCGGGCATAGGTGAGACGAAAGGGGCCCGCCTCACGGCGCACATTTAAATATAAATTGGCACGAAATTATTATTTACAAAAAATATATACGTGCGCGTTTTAAAGCTCTCCGAGGTTGTTTTTATATTTTTTTATAGGTTAACGCGTCGTAAATAACGGTCGTGGTCTCCCGTGTGTGTGTGTTTTTTTAACGTATGTATGAATTATTTTTTTGCGGAGAAATATTCCAAAGATTGTATTAACAAAAATGTGTTTGGCCCTCGTCCGTATGTGTGTGGGTGCGTGATGGGGGTGGAGAATTACAGCCACCCTCATTTATCAATGAATGGGGAGAGGGGATTTTTTTGTGGAGAAGGGGGCACATTTGTCAATTAATGGGGGAGGCTCTGGTTTATTTTAGGGGGGTCGTTAAAATTACGAGGTTGTATTTCGTTGCTTGTGAATTCTGTAACATTTTCTCGTTTTGTGCGATTTTTAACGCTTTGCAGGTTGTCTAGCCAGCAGCAACCTTTTTAACGTTTTCTTTCCACAGGTTTTTAAATTGTAATTTAGCAAGCATGTTTATTTTAACGTATGAATGATGAGTGTTTATCGTTTTTTGGCTTATTCCATAAATACATTATAGAAGATTTAAAATAAAAAAATATTTTAAAAATGATTTCATAAAATCGAAATGTGCACCAATGCTCTCTCTCCAGTGCAAATGTTGATCTGTTTTGCACCATCAATATTATCACCCCAGGGCAGAGATACGGGTTATTGAAGACAGGTCCACCCAATATGCTCATAAGAATATATATGAAAAATCTATGTTAAAGCAGACGTAATACAGGTACAATGGAAATAGGCCTCAAAACCAATTACATCTCGGCTAATTATATATATCCCATTTGTTATTTA